GAAGCAAAACTAAAGATGCTTTTCATTTCACCTCAACATTCAGAAACTGTATACCTGACTCTGTACTTTCTTTTCTCTGGTTTTTGCTGTAAGGCAGGCAGAGCTGCATCAAAGGACTTTTTATTGAAAAGAAAACAAAGCATCCCGCTGTTGCTGGGATACAAGTTTCTGATGGAGTTTATGGGCTGGAAAAACATAACTGTGAGTCTTTATGAAACCGCTGAAGGTCTGTTTTAAACACCATTAACTGTAGATAGAAGTGTGATTATCAGTCTTTCTACAGGCCTCACACCTTATTTTCTCTCTTGCTGTTGGTTTGGATATTTTATCCCAGTTTCGTTTCTGCCACAACACAACCTCCTGCTCCTGCTTGCTCAACCTTCACATCTCCTTTGTTCTTTTTTTATTTTGGTGTCCTGTTTTGCCAATATAGTTCTGTGAACCAATGTCCCAGAACTAGCTAATAGCCCAACAGATTTGCTTTCACAAAGCAGACCATTATGGTTATTGCCATAAAGTTCCACTTGGTACTTGTATACAAAACTTTATTGAAAATGATTTAGGGAGGAGAATCTAATGCAATGGACTTGGAGACGGAAAGGGAGGTGAGAAAGAAAGAGGGGATAGGAACTAAGAGATGATTGATAGAAATAAAGAGAGGAAAGAGTGCATGAAAAGAGAGAAAATAAAACAAAACAGTCAAAATAGACAAAACAGAAGATATAGAGTAACTGCTAGAAGGCTGCTTCCACACATGTATGAGATGAAAGGAACACAAGAGAGAACATAAGAGCAAAAAGAACAACAGACAACCGAAGTAAACATTCAGAGCAGCAAGTATCCCTTAGATGTCCAAGAGTGTCGGAGTCAAAACCTATGGTGATGACAATATTATTCAGTAGTGGTATATATCTGTAGCTTAGGATTTAGTATTAGTGTGTATCCGTAAACACCTGGAACCAAACTCTCGTGGTATGTATGGATGGGCTTTGTCTATTTCATTTCCTCAAAGATCTGATTTTTTAAAACCTACTCCAAGAACTGTCAAACACCCAAAACATGGGGTTCAATTAAAAAAAAGATATAACAAAGCAGCAGGAGCATTCCTTATTTGGACTAAAATAAAAATATTGATGAAAAAAACTAAAATAAAACAAATAAATAAAACTCTCATTTCTTTTTTTTAATTAAATGCTTTTCTCTATGTTTTAAATAAAAAAAATGTTTATATTAGGGTTTGTAAACAAAATTTGAAGGGGAACGCCATTTTTTTTTTTTTTTTTTTTACATTTGGCCATTGATTTTACATTATTACATCGCGTTCTACTCACCCATATGAGTTTTGTGTCTTTTGGTGCTGTTCTGAAGATATTTGGTTAGGTTATATCCAAGTAACGTCTTCCTATGGGCAACGAGTTGAAGGCACAAACTAAACTGTTAAAAAAAATGGTGTTCCTCTTTAAGGTATTGTGGAGGATTTGCTCTATTTTTTTTAAAAAAGACTCTCCACTTAAAAAAAATTATGTGCAAGAGCATGCACGCCCTGTTTAAAAAGTGGCTGTTCTTATCGCTCATACAAGTTTACTGTGTCCGAGCTTCCGCCCTGACCCCTAAATCCCTCAATCCCTATACAGAGTGGGGAGTATATATAGTGGACTTTATAGTGAACTCAGTTAACTGACCGTTTGCACAGATGATCACTGCTTTTTGCTCCATTGGTCAAGTAACTCCTCCGTCACTGTACGGTGCCCACGCCATCTTTGTTATTAGGCTGCTGTGACAGCAAATCCCATAATGCTTAAAGCAGGGGTAACCAATTAAAAATCAGCTGGGTCCGAATAAAGAATAAAGAAAATCAACAACCAGTAAAGGTCCAGAGACATTTTTAATTATAATCCGTTACTTTAAACAGCATTTAACACTGAAATAAAATATGGTGTTTATGCATCCATGTTATACATTGACTTTTTAAATAAAAAAAAAGAAATAAAAAAAATATGGAACCTGAACTGACCTTTTGTTTTTTTCTCGTTTTTTATTTTTTATTTTATTTTATGGCTTAATGAGAGCAATGGGCTTTAGGCTGCCTTGCAAGGCTTTAAACTTGGGTTTGAATCGAGACTAAGCCATTCTCAAGCAGATATCAAGGTGCTCATTTTGAGCCTGGATCCATATTCATTTTTTAATGTTCATGGAGGAGAATCCTGCTTCACAGCAGCAGGTTGAGCCAAACATATTTAAAATGTGCAGGGTCATCTTTGAGCAAACCATTTCACTTTTCTTTCACCAGTTCACCACAGTTCTTCCAGCAGTCCACACTTTCTCTGCTCTCTTTTTCTCATCGTCTTGTCCTTCTTTCTCATTGCGTGGCGTGTCACAGGTTTGCCTGCTGTGTCTAAAAGTAGCAGCAGCAGCAACCCAGACTGACAGCAGCTCATTGGCTAATTTGTATCACATATAGCCTGATCCCGGACGCTATGGAGAGCTTTACCATTTAAACAGGAGAAGCGGTACAAGTGAAATTAGACACTGTTGACAACATGCGGTAATTTATAAATGTTTTAAATCAGGTTGGGTCCGGATTAGACAGCAGGTTGGTCTGGATCCGGACCGCGGTCCGCTAATCCGTGACCTCTGGCATAAAGCATTCCGGGATATCTTTGCCTCTAAGGCCTTTCTTTTCTTCTCATACACTTCAGACACTTTTTCTATTACGACTTTCGGCCATTTTCAAAGGATTTTAGTGAGAAAGGTGATCTTCAAAGACTGTCTGAAACCGTAGCTCACCACAAGTATAAAGCTGAAAGTGTGCATGTGCAGAAAAAAAATTGCTAACGGGACGAGCACATAGGACAGCATTACGTAAACATATCACCAGAATGATTGACAATTAGGAGGACAACTTATTTAGATGATCCACTCGGAAATAAAAGATCGTCCTCTCTACCTTTAAACACCTTGAAATAAAGAAATAAGAAAGAAATTTAAAAAAAATTTATGTTTCTTTTCCTGCACTATTAAATTATCAGAAACAACACAATAACAGTGAAACAGAATGAAAAAAAATTTATTCGATTGTAAAGGAAAATCATAAAGGTAACCAGCAGGTGGCACCATGTTTCCCAATAAAGTGCAACAAGGTATTCAAACCAACATGGAGTCTTTGTCAGATAACATAAAGTAGAAGATCTCAGAAAGCAGTGGATCATCCACCAATCTTTACAGCAGATGAAAACACCTAGATTTATGGATCACCCAGAAGCAGAGACGATGCTACAGTTTTAGCAGTTATCCACAAAGAAAAAGAACATCAAACTGTGGTGAACCTTGCTAGGATTTTCTAACATTCAGTCATGGTGTTAGTGTGACTCGCAGAGACGCTTTGCTGCATGAAGACCCGAAGAACCTTCTATAATAGATTTATCCATGGATTCTGCTCTCTAGCAAATACTGCTGACATTATTGATTTTCATAAATGTTAGATGGCCGCAGTTTCTGCCAAGGGCAGCATTATCCATTATTAGGTTTATGTGGGTAATTATTGCTTGACACTGGAGCAGGCTAGTTTCTTTTGCCAATAAATGAAATCATCGATACCCGTGAATATAAATGTTTTAAATCCTCTAGTTAAATTAAATTAGATTAAATATTAAGCCAAAGATCTGTTTGCACAAACACTCAACATTAGACCATTAACTGTTTAGAGTTTTTTTTAGATCTAAAGTGAAGCAGAGAACAAGACAAAGAGCTTCCTCAGTTCAAACAAACAGCAGTCAGACTCCAAACAATACAGGAAATATAAAAGTTTCCAGACGATATTGATTCATGCAGGTATTAGTTCCAGGAAGCACCAGCAGGATAAGAGTGTACTGAAACCCTTGATGTGTCTGAAAGTCCTGCTAGAGGAGGAGGTCAGAGTGCAGCAGAAGAAGAGCGATGATGAGGAGCATATCGACTCAGATGAAAGAAGGAAAGGAACGCCGATCAATACACCATGCAGTACAATAGTTACCTCATCCTTTCTATATTCACAGCTTCCATCTCATCACGCAGTATTTTTACACCTTACTGTGATGGGTAGCAGTTTCTGCAGGGATCACTGCCTGCCGGGTGTTTTTTTTTTGGATCGTAGGGCAACATTTAGACTTTGAAACAGCCTCACTTTGTAGCCTGTTGATTTACCATTTAGTTCACAGCTTCCCTCTAACACAGACATCCTATCGACACTGCATCAGCATATTCTTGACTTTCTCTTTCCCTCATCTTAAAACCATCTGTTCCACTCTCCTCATAAATCTGTCTCTTCCACACTCTCCTATAGGCTCTCAGTGACATCACTTGTGCAAAGTGTTGAGTCAGACTTCCATAAACATTTTCTCTGACAGTTGTTGCCCCCTGGTGTTCAAAGAGTAGACTGCAACAGCTTCTCAGTCATATAAACATCTGTAACTTGAAATCTTTTAACATCTGCCCCTGAAAAGACCTAACAAGTTGTCTATTAGCAAACAACCTGAATCAGAGGGTAGAGACACCATAACCAAGCCACCTGCTTCTTAAACATGGACGACAATACATTTAAATGGCTTATCTTTGTTGAGTCTGAACAGACCATTAGAGTGAATTAGATATTGGATATTCCTGCTTATTGGATCATATTCTCTGCTTGCAGGGATAAGAGCCACTTAATGTATGGAGAAAACCACCCTCTGCTGTTCTCATGTTACTACAGCTGCATTAAGAGTGTGAATTCTGCTTTAGGATAACTTTAAGGGTCTTAAAATTCCCCACTGTTCACACGTCTTTGATATGTATATTCATTAGATTTTGGACAAGAGTAACCTTTGTAATATTGAGAATAACTGCATGGGATCAGTAAATGGGAGGAAAGAATGTAAGGTCCAGATCCCAGATCAGTTGTAGACACAACACTAAAAGAAAGCAATGCATCTTGGGCATTACTCAACTTTAATCACCTAAGATCTGAAGGTCAGTCCTCCTACCTTGCGGCTTGTAAAGTGAGCGTGCTTTGCCAGCTTGACGTTGAGTCCCTGCAGGAAAACCTCATCGGTGACTTTGCCAACATTCATACAGGCTTCATCCAGAACAGAGAAGATGCCTTTATGCTGCTGCTCCACCAAGTCAACAATAATCTGGTTGTTGAAGTAATCAATCTGAGAAAATGAGAAATAGGATTCAGGTCAGTGTGAAAGACATAAATCTACAATTAAATTAAATCAATATAATTTTATTAAACATTTTCACTGGCTGGTGTTCCAAGTTCAAAGATTTCTAACATGTTAGATTGGAGCAGATTTATAAACTTGGTTTAACAAGTTTTTTTACAAACATCTGCTTTGAGCATTTTCAGTTTTTCTGAAGCTTTTATTTTGCTTATATCTATCAAACCTTTATCACACTGAAAAAAATAAAGAAAAATATCATGATAAAGGTTTTGGCCATACTAACCACCTCTACATTGATTACATAAATTATGCTGAAATCTTTCGAAAGCAAATGAAAATATATTGCTGCCAAATACATCTATATTTAAAGAGACATTTTGCACGTTTTTGTTGAAAAACATATTTAAAATTTTTTATTTTAACCTTTACGACTGAAACACAGTTTGATGAGCAGACTGACACCTAAATAGTTCAGTGCAGATGCATCTATAAGGTCGAGTCCCATTTCTCTCACTTGCACTCAGTTTGGGCCCTAGCATTCGGTTTTGCGCGTTCATGTGTAGTGTAGTGGGTAGTGTGTCCCAATAGTTATAAGAGCTAGGGGGAAGTGCCCTCCAACCCTTAAAATGATCCCTTCAGACCGCGTTAGGTCAGGAGCTGATGTGGATTCCCAGAATACTTAGCAAACTCATTCAGCGCGAGGAAAAATGGCGTCCCGCAGTGAAAAAGACTTGCACAAATGTGAATACATTTTTACAATTAACCACGCATTTTTTAAAAAAATAAGTCGGAATATTTTAGTTAGACCTAAATATATTTTTTGTAATACACAATTCTACCAAGAGTTTCTTCTTTAACGTAAAGTAAGACGATTATGACCGCTGTGAAGTTAGAAGTTGGATATTGGATTTTTAAGCTGCGTGATCTATGGTTGATCCAATCAAGGCACTCCGATTTCAGCCAGCATCTATTTTCCTTGAATATACTTCAGTGGGAAGTTCTCATGCTGTTCTGCCGAGGTGACATCAAGCACCTCTATGTTAAATTAGTCAAATTTAGCAAACAATCAAAGCGTCATATTTAAGATGGATTTCGTTGATCCTCAGAAGGGACCGGCATCCAGCTTAAATCAGACACCATTTGCAACTTCACGCAAGGTGAAAAAAGTAAAGTAAAATTGTCACGAATGAGTGGAAGATACGGAAACAAGCAGAGTAGTGTTGCAGTTTTGGATTTTGGCCACCGGTGGCACTATCATAAGAAACGTCCATAATGCTTCGTTAAAGAATCAAAGAATAATATTCAACTCAACCTAAATCAGTTTTAAGGACATGCTCATACATAAATGCTGTAATTTATTTCACAACTACCAGAGGTGTAAATTGAATATTTTTATCATTAAGTGTATCGCTGTGTTTTAAACATGCAGGAGCCATTTTGGAATCAGAAGTTTGTTTGGTTGTTGCCATTTTCTTTTTATGTTGGATTGCCAACTTATAGGGCTTTCTTGGTTACGTCCAAAAAATGTGTTTCTTTTTTTTTAAAACAAAACAAAAGAAAAAAGTCCTTCTATTTAAGTTCTATTTTGCACTTCAGTTTTAAAAATCTATTAATAACACGGTGTTTTAAAAAAAAAAAAAAAAAAAGCCAGAGAGTGGTGCAGATGAAACTCAATCACTAATTGGAAGATTAGTTTCAGTTGTATGATTAAAAATGTTAAAATATCCTACATGTTTCCAGGGGATGCCTTCTCTCTGATACTCCTCCTGTTCCTGCTTCAGGACCAGCTGAATAAAGAGCTGCTGCAGCTTTTCATTACAGTAGTTGATGCAAAACTGCTCAAAGCTACGAATAAAAAAACAAGCAAAAAAATCATTTAATGAGCTGTAAAATAGTGGTATGATGATACAAATGGAAATATTTTCTAAACTTCTTCTTTAACTTCACCTGTTGTTCTGAAAAATCTCAAACCCATAGATGTCCAACACACCAATGACAGTGTTCTTCCCGTGGACGTTGGCATCATAATTTTTCACCTCAATGATGTCATTGATGCGTCCAACGATCCAGCAGAACAAGCGCTCATACATTGCCTGAGGAAGACAAAATAATAAGCATGTGTTATGCTTGTTTGTGCAGAGAATATCTCAGAGCACAAACGCTCAGCAGTAGCAAGCTGAATAACCAGGACTCTAAATGTCATAATAACAGTGAGTCAGTCTGTTGTTTGCAGGCTTATTGCGCTGGTCTTGACTGCATCCTCCACAATATTCAGCCTCTCTGTGGCGTTAAAACGTTGTGACTCATGTTACTGTGAAACCACCAAGTGAAATCTCATAACCCTGCAGGCACATGTAGACTGCAGCGGATTTAATCTCTTAAGTCCTGAAACAAAAAACACTAAAGGGTGACGATAACTGGTGTGCAGAAATGACCTTTGCTAGAGCGTCTCGCCCATAACTGGCCTCCTTTGTGGTGTGCTGTTTTTCAATGACGTCTCGACCTGTGGCCACTGTGCGGTACAGCAGGGCCTTCTCCACGTTTTCCTCCTTGGTGGAAAGAAGCTCCCTGATAACAGACACAAGCTTTGTGTTCTCTATCAGGGTAACGTCACCGTCCATTCCAAATTTTAGGTTTCCCTGCAGGACAAAACAGAGGACATTTATTTATATTTCAAATAAAAATAACACACAATAAGCATCTGCTCATGCTAGGTGCTAAATGTAACACAAATCTTGCCATGCTAAGTCTATCTTTGCACTAAAAATTATCTGCTTTCTTGCCCCAAAGGGAAAAATTAAATATTAACATTTTTTTTATCACTTGTGTAAAGGGAGTAAACTGCAACAGTTTTTTCTTAGCACATTTATTTGAGGCAAAAAGGATCTCGGATTTGGGTCCAAAGGGTTGTGTTGTGTTGTGTGCGATGATAAAGGCTGCTTTTGGTTTCAGTTTGCATTTAACTCACGCTGCCCAACTTAGATGAACATTGTCAAAATTTGTCTTTTTACTGCCAGTATTCGATGACTGTATTCACATATGTGTTATTATTGGTGTTTAATTGCCTCCACTTATAATCAGATTTAATTTCATAAGCAAATAATTTTATATTAATTCATAAATTAGGCAGGTCACCCACTTGAGAAACACAATGACAGTCTGCCTTCTTGAAAGTACACCAGCAAGGAATAAAATATTACTCACAGAAATAGAAATGTTTTCTCTTAATGGCAGATCAGGGGTTTACCTTTAGGTAATAGGGGGTTTTCAGGTGACGTCACGCTCACGTGACTACTCAGCGCGTCCGCCATATTGGGTGGCAGTCGTTTCGCTCCGTTGACCCTGCATTGTATGACGCCTTAGGCAGTATTGACACTGAAAATGGTGAAAACGTGTGTAATTGTTGGTTGCACGGCCCGTGGAGGTGGAGATCAACGCTCTTTCGCATACCAGCAATAATCCTGAATCAATGTGAAAAAACAAAACAGCTATCTGAACAACGCCGTCGATCGGCCCTGCAGGCAAGCGCTTTCGCGCACAGCCGGCCGTTAG